AAAGACAAATATAAAATGATTTCACTCATATTTGGAGTATAAGAAGAAAGAAAAAAACTGAATGAACAGAACAGCAGTAGAATCACAGAATCCAAGAATGGACTAACAGTTACCAAAGGGAAAGGGACTGGGAAGGATTGGTGGGAAGGGAAGTATAAGGAAGGGGGGAAGAAAGGGGGCATTATGATTAGCATATATAATGTGTGGGAAGGCATGGGGATGCTGTGCAAAACAGAGAAGACAAGTAGTGATTCTACAGCATCTTACTACGCTGATGGACAGTGACTGTAATTGGGGTTGTGGGGGGGACTTGGTGAAGGTGGGAACCTAGTAACCATAATGTTCCTTATGTAATTATAGATTAATGATACCAAAAAAAAAAAAAATGAAAGAACCGTGGGGTCCTCAAATGGAGGAACCGCCCCCTCCCCAGGTTGTGGAGCACTCCATGCTGTGTCCCTATACCCAGGATGAGCTGGTGGACATGAGTGTCCAGCACAGGCGGAAGCTATATTTCTGACAGCTGTTGGTTAATACAGCCTCTTTTCTGGCACTAAAATTAAAACTGTTCCCAGACAGCCTCTTTGAATAGCATGTTAAGTGGTAGCTGTCTCACCTTCCAGCTCTTCTGTGACCTCTGGACCCCTCCCTCACCAGAAGGTACTTACCACAAAAGCCCTGTACCCATGGAATTCTAACCCCACCTTCTAATTTCTACTATACTTTTATCTAAGTTAAATATTGAGTTAAAGGGAGCACCCTGATATAGAATCAGACACATGTACATGTTAAGTGTTAAACAGATGGTAAAGGGTATTTCGTACTGGGTTCAATCACTCAGTAAGGGGTTCTGGGAGTAGGTGGGCAAGCATCTGGGACCAAAGTTAGATTCTTCTGTTAAACGGAAATAGCTCTAACATTGTTTCTCTCCTATGATCAGGAGTAAGACTGTCCTCTCAGCATTTCTATTTAACATTGTATGGGAGGTTCTACTAAGCGCATTAAGAAAAAGATGTAGAAGTTGTAAGTTTAGAAAAGAATAAATAAAGCTGCCTCAGTTTGTAATCCTGACACCTGCTACATGAACACGATGAGACATTATGCTAAGTGAAATAACCCAGCCATAAAAGGACCACTACTGCATGGTTCCACTTACACGGGGCATGCAGGGTACTCTAATTCAGAGCCAGAAATAATAGTGGTTACCAGGGCTGGGGGGAGGAGAAATGGGCATTATATTGTTATGGGTATTCTGGGCAAATGAAAAACCTCTGGAGATGGATGGTGGGAATGGCTACACAATAATGTTAACAGACTAATGTCACCAAAACATACACTTTAAAATTGTTAAGATGGTAAATATTGTGTTGTGTATATTTTACCACAAAAAAAGTGACTGAGCACTTAAAAAAGGTATACTTAGAAAGGACCCCATTTCTGCAGAAAAAAGAAAAAAATATACACATACATACATGAATTAATATTTGAACAGAAAGCAATTTTCTAAGGAGTACTCCACAATGCTAATGGTAGTTATCCCTGAATTGCAGTTATGTGGGATGATTTAAATGTTTTCTATGTCTAAATATATTAAGTTGGGCTCTTTGGATGAAAAATCCATTAACAATTAGTAGGTAGTATTTTTATGATAGTTTCATAAAAGAAACATGCTTATAGCAAAATGACTGCCTTTTCATATTATAAAATTATAACTTGACACATGTAAATTATAAGTAGATACAACAATCTAGACCCCTAAATGGACAACCCTACTATCCTGACAATGACCACAGAATGGAAAGTTCTGTCACATCTGTCCTCTGCTAAACCCACTCTCCACCTCGTCTTGGCAACTGGACTCTCATTTTTATTCACAATTCTAGCTGTGTCACTCATCTCTCAGTTTCCAGCAGATCAGAAACAGCCAGAGACAGAGACAGTCAGAGAAAATGATGTTCCCATTGACAGCCTATCCTTAACAGTCCAGGGAAAATGGGGCCAGCTTAGGAAGGCAGAAAAATGAGAACACAGCCTCAGATCTTCAAAGGGATGAAAAATCTACAATTTAAAGGTGAATCCACAATTTAAGTCGGCAGGGGCGACGACTGAAGCTCACGTGGAGGAAAAGGACCCAGGACAGCTGCCACAATGAAGAACCAAGCTGGAGAACTGACACCACCAGGCACCAAAACTTCCCACAGTGCTGCCATAATCAAAGCACGGTACTGGCCAAATGAACCGACAGGGAGATGAGAAGGGCCCATAAACACAAACATCGGCAACTGATGTATGATGAGGAGCACAGAATGCAGCGGAGAACAGAGGCCTTCCAACACGGGGCGCTGCAACTGCTGGACACGACCGTACAAAAGAAGGGCACATGGATTTTACACCCTCCACAGAAATTAACTCAAAATGGATCATGGACTTAAAAACCCCAAATCACAAAACTAGAACATAACACAGAAGAAAGTCTAGACGACCGTGGTTGTGGTGATGACGTTTTAGAGACGAGGCTAAAGACATAATCTATGAAAGAGAGAACTGACCAGCTGGACTACACCAAAATTGCAAGCTTCTGCTCTGTGAGAATGAGAAAGATGACAAACCACACAATGGGAGACGGTATTTACAAAAGACACATCTGATTAAAGATTGCTGTCCAGAACACACAAAAAAACTTACACCTCAAGAATAAGGAACAAAAAACAGGCAAAATATCTAAACAGACTCCTGACCAAACATATGTACAGATGGCAGACACATGATAAGATGCTCCACATCATATGTCATCAGGGAAATAAATGCAAATTAAAACCATTACATACCTATTAGAATGGCCAAAAAAATCCAGAACACTGACAACACCAAGTACTGGTGAGGATGTGGAGCAGCAGGAATTTGTTCATTGCTGGTGGGAAGGCAGACTTGTGTGGTCGCTTTGGAAGACAGCTGGCAGCTTCTACAAAACTAAACCTACTCTTCCCATATGACCCAGCTATCATGCTCCTTGGTATCTACCCAAAGGAGCTGAAAATTTACGTCCACATAAGAACCTGCACATGGATGTTTACAGAAGCTCTATTCATAACTGCCCAAACTTGGAAGCAACCAGATGTCCTTCAGTAGGTGATGGATGAACAGTGGTACAGCCAGACAGTGGATTATTATTCTGTGCTAAAGAGAAACAAGCTGTCAAGCTGTGAAAAGACATGGAGGAAACTTAAATGAGTATTACCAAGTGAAAGAAGCCAATCTGAAAAGGCTACATACTGCATGATTTCAAATAAAAGACATTCCTGGAAAAGCAAAACTATGGTGCTAGTTAATTTATATTAGAGGGGAATCAGCAGAACATAGCATTTTAAGGCAGCAAAGCAACTCTGCAAAGCTCTAATGGTTATGTGTCCAAACCCACAGCACATGCAACACGAATGAGTCCTTGTAACTGTGCACTCTGGGTGACCCTGTCATGCCAGTGCAGGTTCATCAACTGTGACAAATGCACCACTCTGGGAGAGGATGCGCCTGTGGGGGCGCTGGGGGTGCATGGGAACCCTGTACTGTCTGCTTCCTTTTGCTGTGAACCTAAAACTGCTCTGAAAGATAAAGTCTACTGAAAACAAAAACAATGTATTTAAAAGACTCCATCTCAAGCATGGGGAGAAGTAAACATTTTGCTAAAGGACATGCTGGTCAGAGGAGCTGCGGCACTGGGGCCGGCTGACCAGCTTGCACACACGGGCAACAGAGCAGGGCTGAGAGGCCCAGTGGGGTCTGCTCCCACTTGTCACTCCTCCAGCCTCCGCGGTCTTCTTGAACTTCTCCTGGTCATCCCACCGCAGCCCAGAGAACCCATCCACCTCGACGTCAGGGTGCCGCATGCAGTGGCTGACCTTCCAGAAGCAGAAGTGGTACCAGTGCGGGACCTTCCCGTTGAACATGGGTGACTACGATGGGACAGAGTGCAGTGCGTGACCAGCTGCTACCCCCGCCACCAACATAAATCTGTTTCCCTGTTTACTTTTCCCTAAGACGAGGAGGTCTTGCCCAGACCCTCCAAGTCATGGGCCCAGAGCTACACACACAAGGAAGCCACCTCTTGTTCCTCCCTTCCCCAGCTCTTCAGGCCCACACCACCCATGGGAAGGCATTACTTCTGACCGTGTGCTGCTCTGTGCCAGGGATGGTCCCCCACGAGACACCCACTGTGTCCCCATCCTCCTGCACGGCCTGGAAAGGGCTGGCTGAGTGCCTTTGCAGAGGCGCTCAGACAGGACAAATCATAGACAATGAGCCAGGTGGGGAAAATGTGTCAGAAAGCAGCAGCTACACATATGGGGGACACGGATTTGTCTATGAGGGAGAACGGTGGGGGGGTGGGGAGTGGCAGGCCAGGGAGAACAAGGGCGGATCTCCCAGCCTGCAGCCAGGCCCTCTCTCCTGTGAGGCTTCACCCAGGGGGGTACTGACTTTACAGCATCGAGCCTTTCACTGTCAGACCCACCAAGCAGAGTGGGTCCCTGGTACCTTCAAAAGCTATCACGTGTAACCCGACAACTGCCTCTAGTGGGGACCAGCACCCCCATTTCACAGAATCCTTGGGCTATGGGTGACCCAGGCAGGTGACTCAGCCCCAGCTTGAAACTGACACCGTGGTTCTTTCCGCCACACTGCTTGACAGGAAGAGCTGCTTAAAAATACAGAAACGGTTCGAAGTGAAGGGGGCCCCAAATGTCTGTTTCTACAGAACATAAAGCTGAATGTCATGCAGATGGAGTAAGAATATTAAAACAGCATTAAAATAACTACTATTCACAACTTTCAAAAAACGTGAAGTTGTGAGGATAGGGGAAATATGCTGAAAAGGCAATGTCAAGGCCTCCCGACCAGCTCGCTCTCACCATGCAAGGGGCCTCTTTCTGGGGGTAAAATATTAGTGTTCAGGTGGGCACTTTGAGGACCCCTGGGTTCAAGCAGCCTGCGCCACCCCCTGGGCAGGGCTCAGGGCTCCGGACCTGCTGGGAGCAAACAGCATGTCCAAACTCCCCACAGATATAACTGTTAGGGGATGTGAGTCCTTTCTGGCTCTCTAGTTTTAAATGGTTACTCGCTGAGTCCCTTTTATTGGGCATTATGGGCCTTTATTCTCTCTCCACCCTGCTCATACCTGCTTTCCTGCCCAACAGAACTATCTCCCAGGATGCCTATTTGGTCAATGCCTGTGTCCTGCACTGTGTCAAAGCTCCAAGGGGCACGATGCCATCCTGCTAGCACTGATACTCCAGCCCACAGATGGCACTCTGTGGAATGCCCCAGGTCTGGGGGGAAGGAGGAAGAACAGGGCATTCCTTCTGTGGAGAGGATGTTCCCTCCAAACAAGACGACAAACAGCACTTCAGAGTGGAATGGTGTTCCCACCACGGCAGCTCACTCACCCTCAAGCACTGCCCATCTTACTACAGCCGCGGTGGCCTTAACCTGGCTCTTCCTGCCTTGGGGCCCTTGTCTACCTCACCTCGCAATGCTCAGCTTACACCTGTGAACAGATGTGCGTGGCTCAGTGGCTTTGTCCTATGTAGGAACTTGTGGGGGGTGGCATTTCTTCTTGGCTCAGCCAGGGCCCAACATCTGCCCCAACGTCTGCCCCTCCAAACCATGGTCCCCAGCCACCCACCCAGTGCAGCGTCAGACATGTTGCCCAAGGGCATATGCACAGCAACATCTTGGGGACTCCCTCTGAAGGAGGAACCTTTGACTAAAGCGAGAACTTAAGGCTGAGAACATGGCAGGAAGAGAACTAGACCAGGGTCACAAGACTGGTTTTCACTTGGCAGCTACAAGGTAAGGCTTGAGCAAGTGGCAGACGCTGGCTGTGTATTCAGCAAACACTGAGCACCCACCATGTCCCAGAGTCCGCAGCCAGCACCTGGCCTACTTCCTCCTGTGTGAAACAGGCCATTACACTGCCCGCCTACCCAGAGGCTACAGGCCTAACCCAGACGGCTGGCCACTGGCACACAGTATGAGACCACGCTGTTTGCCTCAGGCCCATCCAAGACAGGGCAGAACACTCGGCCCACCTCATCCCCCACCACTCCCACCACCCTCACTCCACACCCCTCATCCCAGTCCAAAGGCTGGAAGCCCGGTTCATCCCCTTGAGGCTGCCCGGGACAGGCCTGGTGAAGTATCAGGTATTTGACACTTAAAGAACAAGCTTCTCATACAGATGCCAAAGGCGGTATTCAAAACTAAATGGCAAGAATGGCTTCTTTCTTTCCCGCCTCCACCAGCTCAGCTGGCCTACAAGACCAACATTACAATCTAAGTTAGAACTCCACCCCAATTACAGAACACCACACCAACTTTTAATATTAGTAATTTCTTTCACTGTCAAGCATGCCAAATGAAGGCACGAAAGGTTAAACATCATTTGGTTCAGGAATCGGTTCCTCAATGGGGCCATCACCCTACGGGTGTCTTAAAAATACAGAGAATACACATAGGCTCACAAAAGAAACCAATTATTCTGAAATAATTACCAAAACATTTAAAAGTTTACTGGGTTATGCTACTGTTGAACTTGGAAGGATGTAGCAAGATTCAGCATTCACTCTAATTACTGGAGTTTTGTTGTGATGAGTGTAAATGATATTCTGACAACCTCCAACAGATGTAAAGGGAGGTGAAAATGCCCATAATTACTGTAAGGTGACCAAAATCATAGGTGGAGCAAATATGCCTTTGCTCTGCGATTTACATTACTAATTAGAGAAAGAATGTGTTTTATTTAGAGGTTAGTGAAGATAGGGATGTACATTTTTTTCTCATGTGAACTCATGCACTGTTTGGGTTCTACCTGCAATCCCAGATTGCAGGTTAAAAACCCCTGCACTAGAAGGGAGCTTCTCAAGAGCAGGCCACCCATTCAGGGGAAAGTTCGAAGACCTTAGTGGAAGATACAGGTCTTCAAAAGTCGGGCCTTGTCTGCTTCTCCATCTGCAACTCCCTGCCACTTCTGTGATGCTCCCAGTTCAGCTCAGGTCCATCCAGGGGCAATCATCCTGAACAGCAAAGTTCACCAGTCATCTTCCCTTTAATCAAACTGTATGCTGCCAAGGGCAGTCGCTGTGTTTCTAGTACCAACACAATGCCTAGAACTCACCAGGTGCTCAGTGTTTAAAGAATGAGTAAGTACTGAATGCCAAGTAGTTGACCTAGGTAGGCTGACAGGCACAGTGACTGCAGTTTCCAGTGAAATGGGATGACCTAAGTACTTGGCATTTGGAACCCACTCTCCACTGCACAAGTAGTGAAAATCCATCAATGACTATTCAGTCATACCCAAACACATTACTGCCTCACTGCTGGGAGAATAAAATCATTTACCTTGACCATGAGCACCACATTGGGTAACAGCTTTATTTTGGAGGAGGAGCAGGAGGGGCAGGAGGGGCAAGTGAAAGCGGGACTACACCCATGCGGGATGGGAGCTGGGGGAAGTAGGGCCCTTGAGCACCTCCCAGCTCACCCACTCTGCCCTGAGCCTAGGAAGACGGGCAGCAACCTCCCACCCCCCACCCAAGTTTATCAACTCCATCCCAGCCCCTTAGCCTGAGGACACGGAGGGGGTCCCCCAGTCTATCAACCGCACCCCATCCTGAAGCCTGGGAAATGGAGGGGGCCCCCAACCTTCAACTCCATCCCGTCCCGAAGCCTGAGGCTGAGGGGCCCCCAGTCTACTAAGAAGCCGAGGGAAGTACCCCCAGCCACGCTCACTCAGACCAGGCAGCTGCAGACGCACAAAGAGAACGCGTCAGGGAACCAAGAAAGTGGGGGAAAATATTGTTTTAAACCACAAATTAGGCCCAACCTGAATGCCAGGCACAGGAATGACGCCGACTTGTAAGGTTCTGCATAAGAGAACAAGGGTGAGTATGCTTAACTGACACCCCAAAATAGATTAAAAATCATTCGCGAGCCCGTCGCCCCATCAACAGAGGACAAAACCTCCCGGATGAGGCGGCCCAGGGTGGGCGACCTGGCGAACGCCCCGAGGAGCACCGCGCCCTGGAGCGTAGAAGCTGCGCTGCGCGCCCGCACCTGCACGATGACGGCCATCTGCAGTGGGTCCTTGGCGAGGCTCTCGCTGCATTTCTTGCATGAAGCGCGGCCGCTCTTGGCGTACTTGACTCGGTAGAGCTTGTCCAAGGCCTCGCCCATCCGCGTGCCCGCATAGCTACGGTCCGGAGCCGTACCGCTACCTGAACACCCGCAGCAGCAGCCAGGACCCATCCAGCCCGCTCCGCACGGCGCGGCCCACTCCCTGCGCGCCCACGGCCGATAGCGCGTACGCAGAGCACGCCGTGCACGCAGCGCCCCATAGATTGCCGTTCCCTGGCCGCGGGAACGCCCCGCGCATGCACCACGGGGAGGGGCCACTGGCGAGCGCGTGCGCCTTCGCCCAGCCAGCTGGAGAGCGGTTGGGTCGGCCTTACGGCTGCGTGGACTGGGGCTGGATCTGGGCTTGGAGAGGCGGGTCCGGCTCGGGTTGCCCCCGCAGCTTCCGGGACCCCCATGCCGTCAAGTGACTGCTTCGTGCCGGCTAGGCGCATGTGCTGTCACTGCTAGTGGTACCAGCCCTGTTAATAAGAGCGGCCTGCCCTGGCGGCCCAGGTCTGGGGGCCCTGAGCTGGCTGGGAACGGGCTGGATCTGTGCGCCGCTGGCCTCGGGTCGGGGGTTCCACTGCAGTATTAGGGTTCCCGGTGACTGTCAGCAATAGTCAGAAGGGCTGCAGCTACTACAGCTTGTTAGTTAATGTAGAACTATATATAACTGGTTTATTTAATAATCCTAGCGTTTCATTTTATTCATTTAAGACATTACTATAGCATAGTGTGCTGTATTTGAGACTATTCAGTTCTGCTGTGGGGACAAGAAAAAGGAACAGGATGCGTGAAACTCATTAAAGTGCTAAGCATAGGGGAGAAGAAAGCTAGTAGCTTAAAAGACGTGTGGAGTAGGCAGTAGTGAGACATAGACAAGAAACTTGTTAGTGACCTGTAAGATGTGCTGAAAGTAAACAGTAAATGGGGTACATGATGGAATAAATAAAATAACTTAGCAACCAAATCAAAAGTCAGGATAATTGGACCTCTGGGTTGACAACTGTGTCACCCCTAAATGGCCATCACTGGCAGTAACATGGTCCCATTCTGGTTACCATATGCTCTGCCCAAAGATTGCAGATAAACCCATGCCTGCTCAGCAGGCTGATTGGTGATCTACCTATAGCCAGATGTCCTTCTGACTGGTGACTGAGTTGATTCCAGTTACTCTGCTGAATAGCCCTGAGCATCCTCAGCTCTGATACCCATAACCCTTCCATCAGCGGGGCTGGCTGATAATGGCAGAGAAAGACATAACAGGTGAACATTGCACAACCCCACGTTTTGATGGTGTGGGCCTTCTGCCTTACGTCTACCTTGTCTGGTGTGATATATACCCCATGTGGCTCCCCTTGCTGCAGGAGGTTAAATCAGGTCTTTCAAACTGACTCCTGTAAACTCTGTGATCTCAGTTTGGTTGGTGAGGTTTCTGTTTTGTGACTTTTAGGACAGCACTGCATTAGAGACCCAAAGACTTCACTAGAGGTACATAGGAGTCCTGGGCATACCCCCAAAGGTTAGGAATTCCTGTCCTAGAACCCTAAGGGGAGCCAGCTGTATCCTGCCTCCTCAAGATTTCTCTTGGGGTGTCATATGCTTCCCACTGATGTAGGAATCTCCCCCACTTCTTCCCAGACAGGAATCCTCCATGGTTCTCTGCGTTGTTTAGGCCAAAAACGTGGACACCACTTGACTCCTTTTTTACTCTGTCCCACATCCAATCTGTCACTGAATCCTGACTTCCTTTATTTTATTTTTTATTCCTAGACACCCATGTAGGCCACTTCCCTGTGAGCCCTTGGAGCCAATTCTCTCTCTCCACCCTCTCTTCCTGAGGGCAGCAGGCCTCTCCACATGGGTTGAGTCCCACCACCATTCCCCCCATAGCCCCAGGGCAGCTTAGGATCTGCTTTCTGCTCAGGAGGAGGAAGATCTCCAGTAGTTCCCCAGCCACTTCCAGTCACCATGTCATGTCACCTTTGTGGTCCTAGACAGTCACCTGCAGACTCCCCTGCAGTCCCCCCACCACAAAAGCAGGTGAGATTGTGAAGGTAAACAGTAAGTGGAAGTAGGGGCCTTGAGATCTCAACCTGTGCTCTGTCAGTGCCCAGAACCCTCCATGGCATCTCACTACATAATGAAACCTGAAGTTCTTTCTGTGACTACATCTGAGGCCTGGCCACTCTCTGGCAGGCTGCTGCCCCAGCCACAATACTGTCATGCCTCCTTGATCCCTCTTGTCCAGGCTGGGAGCTCTGCTGTCCCCTCGGTCCCCTCTGCTCTTCAGTCAGTGGAGGCCAGAGCTGGCTCCCTCCCTAGGTCTCTGCTCTTTTCCATGGCAGAAATTCTATTTTACTCAACATTTTTTCCTCTTCCAGCTTGATGCCTCTTTAATTGGTCCTCAGAAAATGGTTTATTTAATCATATCCTTGCTTTTCAAGCATCCTATTTTCTCTGAACTTCGTATGCATCTATTGCTCTCAGTTGTCCATCCGGCTGCAAAGAAACTTCAGCTCCTGGTGTGGGTGGGGATGGGGGACAGAGCAGGAGCAGATGGGCACCAATAGGCTCGTTGTTTCTTGGGACCTCCTGAGATGCTGAGACACCTCTAAGCCCAAGGAGTGCTGTGTGCATGGGGAGATGGTATAAGAGAGACAGAGTCAGGATGAACTCAAGGGATGTGTTGTGGCTTTGCTTTGATATAAGAAAACAACAAAGACTAACAACAACGAAGGTAGGCATAACCAGAATAAGAAGCAAAAGTCTTTTTCCCTCCCAGTCTTTCCCATTCCCACATCCTAGAGGTTATCACTCATCACTGTTTATAGTTTGTCCTAAGTCCTACTAAATGTTGTCTACATGTATACACACACACACACACACACACACACACACACACATATGTGCATGCACACACACACACACACAGAATTTGAGGTCTTATTATGCACATATTGTATGCTAAACTTTAAAAAATATCCCAGAGATACATATTCTAATGGGGCACCTCAGTCCTTTTATAGGACTGTGCAAATGCATAGTATGGATGAGCCATACTTTGTTGGTTGGTTTTGAGAGATGGTAAAAAATATCATTTATACTTCTGTTATTTATACAGTTTTCCCAGTTCTTATATGATACAAACACTTCATTTTTGTAAAATATTTAGGTTTGATCTGTTCAATACAGAAGCTACTAGCAACAAATGACGACTGAGACTCTGGAGTGAAGAGTTTGAACTGAGATGTGCTGTAAATGTAAATGCACATGGGGAAAGGAGGATTAAAGATGGTGGCATGAGAGGTGAGACAGAAAACCACATATAATATGAAAATATAGTTAACACAACTAATCATGAAAAAGCAACAGGAAAAAAGACTGTGCCAGACTGAATACATGTAGAGAAAAGAACAGACCTCATGGAACAGGGTAAAGCACCAAAGCCATGATCCAGCAGGACCCAAGCCCTGCCCTGAACCCAGCATACTGGCAGAAGGAAGAGAAATGGAGCGGGGAGGATGTGGAGGCCTAGGACTTCTGAACTACCTTCTAAACAGCCTTGAAGATCTACTATGGGAGCACAAACCTCTATTAATATGGTGCTCTGGAGATTAGTGGGGTTGGATAGTTAAGACAGGTAGAGTACCTGGAGAGACTGAGATTCCAGCCTCTTGTGGAAAACAGAGATCAACACCCGGCTGCTCTGGGACAAAGAAAGGTGAGCAGACAGAAACTTCCTAACAGTGAGAGGGCTGCTAAAGGTGTAAGGATTGCACGGAGCTTGCTGCTCAGGAGAAAGCACAGGTGGAAAAAATTATCCAGGCACACACTGCCTAGCAGGTTGGGAACTTGCAGGAACTTCAGATAGATACTCCATCCCCCTGGTTGGCTATGCAGCTCTGTGGCCCTGCAACATGATACACAGACTGCTGCATCATCTTCCTCCTAGCCGGCATCGGCTTGTAAACTGGTTGCTGCTGCCCTTGCACCAGACCAGCCAGAGGGAGGCCACACCTACAGCGGCTATAAGTGCAAAGTATAGAGAATTCTACCTATGCACTTGGCCCACTGGCCCTGGCAGTGGATCCAGGAAGTGCAGCTGGGAAGCAGGACACAGCTTTTTCCTCTCAAAAGGCACCAGTGCTGTTCACCTGCAACCCCCACCATCACTCCAGGGGCTGAGTAGCTCCAGAGAGTAGAGCTTCTGGGCACTAGATGTTGCCACAAACAAATATGAAACATCAAAGGAACCTGGCTAAAATGCAAATCACAAAAACACCAGAAAGAGGGCCAAGGGAAACTGAACTCACCAATCTTCCTGAAAGAGATTTCAAAATGAAAATCATAAACATGCTCATGGAGATACAGAAAAATACTCAAGAAATCAGGAAAGAATTCAGGAATGAGATTCAATCATTAATACAGTATCTGAAGTGAAACATAGAGTGGAGGGATTTAAAAGCAGATTAGATGAAGTACAGGAGACAGTAAATGAAATAGAAATTAGAGAAAGGAATACAAAGAAGCTGAGGCACAGAGAGAAAAAAGGATCTCTATGAATGAAAGGATATTGAGAGAACTGTGTGACCAATCCAAATGGAACAATACTCGCACTATAGGAGTACTAAAAGAAAAAGAGAGAGAAAAAGGGATAGAAAGTGTCTTTGTGGAGGCAATTGCTGAGAAATTCCCTAATACAGGGAAGGAGATAGTCAATCAGGCCATGGAGATGCACAGATCTCCCAACACAATGGGCTGAAGGAAGACAACACCAAGGCATATAATAATTAAAATGGCAAAGATCAAGGATAAGGACACAGTATTAAAAGTAGACAGAGAGAGAAATAAGATCACATACAAAGGATAACCCATAAGGCTATTATCAGACTACTCAGAAGAAACCTACAGGCCAGAAGGGAGTGGCATGATATATTTAATACAATGAAACAGAAGGGCCTGAACAAAGAATACTCTACCCAGCAAGATTATCATTTAAAATTGAAGGAAGGATTAAACAATTTTCAGATAAGGAAAAGCTGAGAGAATTTACCTCCCACAAACCATCAGTGTGTATTTTGGAGGGACTGCTATAGATGGAAGTGTTCATAAGGCTAAATAGCTGTCACCAGGGAATAAAACCACAGTAAAGAATACAGAACAATTAATTACTAAGAAGATGCAAAATCAAATCAACTACCCCCAAAGTCAATCAAGCGATAGACAGA